TGAGTGTGTATGAGTGAGTGTGTGAGTGTTTGTGAGTGTGAGTGTGTGTGAGTGTGGGTGTGTCTGTGTGAGTGTGAGTGTGTGTGTGAGTATGAGTGTGTGAGTGTGTGTGTGAGTGAGTGAGTGTGTGTGTGTGAGTGTGTGGGTGTGAGTGTGTGAGTGTGTGTTTCAGTGTGTGTGTGAGTGAGCGTGTGAGTGTCTGTGTGAGTGTGTGACTTTGTGTGTGTGTGTGTGTGTGTGTGTGTGTGTGTGTGTGTGTGTGTGTGTGTTGGGCTCAGTATCTTGCACTGAGGAAAGCAGCTCAGAGGCAGCCCCTGGCCGTAGAGCTCCCAGCTCCTGAGGACCCACAAGATCCTGATTGGAGCTGGGCTCAGCCTGGGATTGACGCTTCCCCAGGTGCCCCGTGCCTAGGGGTTGGCTGAGACCTGGGGCCTGGGCAGTGGCCAGGGCTGGCGCTATCTGTCCCTTTCTGCTCAGGGGGACAGACTGAGGAAATCTCAGTTGCAGAGGGGCTCGCTGGGGGTGCTGGAGGAGGCCAGACAGCAGAGGGGCTCGCAGGCCCCAGGGACAGCAGCCCAGAGGACGAGAACAGCAAAGAGGAGGAGGGGTCCCAGAGGAGGGGAGCGGAGGGGCGGCTGAGGGCCCGGGAGCCCAGGGTCTCTCCTCATGCAGAGCTGCCAGTGGGGGGGTGCAAGTCGGGCTGGAGGGGCGGCTCCAGGAACAGCCTCCTCAGCCTGGAGGGACCCCTGGCCTAGCAGGGTCCTTGGCTGGAGGCTGAGAGTTTCAGTGGATTTGGGGAGCTGCCTGCAAAACTGAAATCTTCCAAATGTGGCTGGTCCAGGGGAGGGGGCAGGGCCAGGCAGGGTCAGGCAGGGCTATCAGAGCTCACCCCTGGCAGCGTCTCTCTTCCTGCAGCCTTCATTATCCATGCTCTGGTCAGCCTTGCTGCAGTGGCTTTGCCCTGTCACATTAAATTAGCCTGAATGTAGGCCCTCCCCGGTGCCCGTGCCAGTCCTGCCACCAGCACAGCCCTGCCTGTCCCTGCTCATCCCGTCTGCTGTAACAGCACCTGACAGGTCATATTTTTCCACCAGTCTGCATCTCAGTGGGTGGCCGCCTACGTGGACACTTTTCCATGCTCTTGGTCTTTGTGTTTCAGGAGCACATGAAGTCAAGTACTCCTAGAACTCTGATTAAGTAGATTTACTATATATGCATATTTACAGCATGATGGAGGGAGGGGGACCAAGTCAGGGTCAGGGGGTCTGTGGCTGTGGGGGATGGGTGCAGGGCCACAGGCTTGTTAGCAGGACAACCTTTCCCAAACTCAGCCTCACCTGTTGATGGATGGAGAGCCCAACACCAGGGGGCCCTTAGGGTTAGGGTTAGGGTTAGGGTTAGGGTTAGGGTTAGGGTTACCGATGCTGATCCACTGGGAGTCCCTGTTTCACTGTTGCAAACCCATGGGTTTCAGTTAGGGTGAGAGGGAGGGTTTGAGTGAGAGTGAACGTGACGGTTAGGGTGAGAGGGAGGGTTTGGGTGAGGATGAGGAGGGTAAGGGATAGGGTGAGGGTCAGGGTTAGTGTTAGGGTTCAAGATAGAGTTAGGATTAGAGTTGCTGGTCCTATTAGCAGTCCCTGACTCAGAACTGTACATGCATCAGATGTCCCCAGTTTCATGTGTCCAACTGTATTCCTTGGTCCCCAAGGCCTGAGTGTCCTGAGACAAGGATGAACTCAGAGGAAAGCAGACCATACCCATGAAACCAACTAAGCAGCCTCCCCCCGCCCCCTGCCTGGCAGTGCTCTCCACATCAGGGCCAGAGAAGGCCAGGAACTATCTTTTCTTTTCTTTATTATTTTATTATTATTTTTTTTCACATTCTACAATGTTGTGGAGCAGTTGGGGGAGGGGGAGGGGGGAAGGGAAAGGAAATAAGGTGGGAGAAGGGGAAAGGAGGAGGGGCAGGATTGAGGCCAATGGCACCCCCCTCATTGCGGCCTGGCAGACCAGGGGGCTTCCAGCAGTGGCTTGGTCATTTCTGGGCTGGGTGCAGATGGCAGAAGGGTGTGGCTGGAGCCCTCGCCACCCCCCACTGCCCCAAATCTGTAGCCCAGGGTGCTTCCTGTGGTGGCTTGGGGGTCAATGCTGGCTGGTTGCAGGTGTTGGGGGCTATGGCTGAGGATCCTGCCTTCCCCCCTCCCTGGCTTGGTAGCCCAGGGGACTTCTGGTCCTTCTAAATTTTATAGGTGTTCTTTGGTGGTGTGAGACCTTTACTAGTTAATATCAGTCTTTGGTCTGTGGGTACATTGTTTTTTCTCTCAGTTCTGTGTTGGATTATTTTGCTCTGCACTGGAACTAATTTGTTGCCTTTTGCTTACTTTTAAAATGGGGGAACTTCCTGTGGGGACCAGCAACTTGAGCCCGTGGTTGAGCTAAATTGCTGCTTTGCTGCTGATTCCCTGGGAAAGGCGTTTTGTGCAGCTCCGGTTTTAATGGTTGACCTCGTAGGTACTTCCAGGTCTTGTGAGGTCTGATACACCTGGGTTGTGTAGAAACTCTGGTCTGGGCCTAAGACTTTTCAGCAAACTGCACCCCCTGCAGTTCTGTATTCCTGACCAGTCTCCACTGAGTGGTCCTATGCTGATTGGGGGGCAGATCAGCTGTCCTTGCTGTGCCCCAGTGTTCCCATGGTGGTCCATCGCCCCCAACCCCTACACTACACACTCCCCATGGGACGAGCCATGCTCCATTCCCTTGCAATGGCTCACTGGCCTCTGAGTGGCTCCTTCTTTTCAGTTGTTGTGGCTCCTCATCCTGTGTGAGTCCATGGGAACCCTATTAGTGATCTTACTGGCCTGGGGGCCACCAAGGCCCTCTTCTCCTCTGCTGCTTCCAAGCAGCTTCATCTGGAGGGCACAGCTGCGGCTTTTGCTGGCTCCTGCTCCATGTGCTCAGCAGCTCCAGCCTGGAAGTGTCTGGGATTTGAAATGGTAGGAGTGGTCCTTTCTTTCTCTCATCTTGGCTTCTCCCACCTTCATGAACTCTGTAGGTCGTTCCTCCTCTTCCCCTGAGCTCTAGCAGCCGTTGCTTTTTAATGGTTATAAATTGGTTGATTTGTGAGAGAGAGTGATGCTGGGGACCCTCTATTCTGCCACCTTGACAAAGTCTCCTCAGGAACTATCTTTTCAAAGTCAGAGGGTGCAATGGGCAACATAGGTCTAGTTGTATGGTGCCCTGTCGTGTCCAGGTGGGTCTGCACAGTGAACAAGGCTCCAGGATGGCTTCGGAGCTGTTTTGAACAGCTAATGCCTCTCCACAACCCCCTTCTTTTCTTTTCTTTTCTTTGGTTTTTTTTTTTTTTTTTTTTTTTCAGAGCTAAAATAAGGGCTGGTCTTAGCAGACTCGAGAAGGTGAGGCCTTTCGGAGCCACATGGATGCAGGAAGGATTTATTAAGGTGCAGTCCGCTAGTGCTCCGAGAACATTTTCTGCATTATCAGGTCCTCACAGTATTGCTGGGGTTACCTCACTGTCCTCCCCAATATTTCTTCATTTCCTTGCAGGCCAATGAGCAGATCAGGAATGTCAACGCGGGAGGTAAGCTGCCCGCTGGCTCTGTCACGGTCAGGCATGGGGCACAGAGCCGGGCACTGGCCACACGGAGGTCCCTGTGCACGTCCCACCTTGGCCTCTCCCTAGCTCTGCTCTAGGAGCTCGCTGCGGCAGAAGCACGGGTCAGGCCTTAGAGTCTGACCTTCTGCTGTCCCCATGGCCTGAATGCAAGACACCGACCTCCGGGTGTGGGGACCTGCAGCATTCACCACCTCCTGGCTCGAGGCCCAAGCCATGTCCCCTCTCTTGTAGATAGAAGCAATTGCAGACAGACCAGAACACGCATTTGGGGTGGACACTGGATTCAAGGGCCTGCAAGGCATCGTTGACAAGGTGAGTGCGGGCTGGACGTGAGGAGAGGGTGGGGGCATCTCCCCAGTATCTCTGAGGATCACACTCCTTGCCCCCTTCCACCCTCTCTCTATTCCAGCTCGCGTCAAGGTTTTGTCTTGAAGTTACATCTGCGCGTGCTACCAGTTCGTGTTTAGGAGGTAAGAGCTTAGGAGTCACTGCTGTAACCAGGAGTGTATGTGTGTAAGTGTGTATTTGCATGGTGTTTCCATGTGTGAAGTGTGTATTTTTGAGGTGTTTGTACATTTGGTTTGTGTGTGTGTGTGATTTGTGTATGTGATATGTATGCATAGTTTGTGTGTCGAGCCAGGTGAACAGGACAAGAGAAAAGCCAAGGGGACCTCAGGCAGATGTGGGGTCATTGTGGACCAACAGCTTGTTCTCCTCTGTGGCCACACTCCCTCTTGCTGCTCCTCCCACGTCTGTCCTTGGGCTGCCCCGCGTCCTGTGCAGGCTGAGACAGCGAGGAGTCCATGCACAGCCGGAGCACACGTGCTGGTGGCTGCGGCTGCGGCTCCTGTCAGGGCAGAGGCGAGCCTGGTGGGGAACGGGCTCTGGTGGGCACAGGGACCCTGTCCACGTGCCTCTGGCTGGGAGACCTGGTCCTCAGATGGCAGCAGGGGCGCCACAAGCCATGCCTGGGCAGGGCCACCCGGTGCGGCACCTGCACTGAGCCCACCTCACAGCGGCCAGTGGCGCCTCCGTGTGCCCATCTGCCAGGCTCGTGCTTGTCCAGCGCGGCTGGAGTTGTCCTTCGGGGCACAGGTCGTCCAGGCTGGCAGCTGGTGAGAGTTCAGGCAGCCTGGTGGGAGGCCCTGAACCAGTTCAGCCCCTCATCTGTGACATGGGTCCTGGCTCAGGCCCCTTCCCACCCTGGGAGTCTCTGGGTGGTGGGTGCTGGTCGCCGTGCTCCCTCACCAGGGATGAGGGCTGGGGAGCCCCTGTCCAGGCCCTGAAGGGGGCTCTGCTGTGGCCCTGTCAGCTTCTGTAGGTCACTCCTGCTGCCTTCGCCGACCGGGCCACTCCTTGCTTCTGCAGGGAAGAACGCTTCCACCGTGATAATTGCTCTGACCGATGGAGAACTCTACCCAGAGCCATTTGAACTGTCGAAGGAAGAAGTGAGTCTGTTCCATTGTCACCAGCATTTTACTCCACGTGTTTGGTGATTTATACTCAATGCTTCCTTCTCTTAGGCTAGGAAATCTCGGAACATGGGGGCAACTGTTTACACCGTGGGTGTGTTGCAATATGTGAAACGCCAGGTAATTGAGAACAGGTAACCAGGTGCCACCTTTGAGCCTAGTTGGGCAAACTAGTATCTAAGGCGACTTTCCCAGGGCCTCCCGGATCGTGGTCTTGTAACCACCCCAAGTGATCTGGGGCCACAGGTGATTAATGCGTGTGTTATAAAAGCCACCGCAGCAGGGGTGAGGGAGGAAGAGCTTTCCACCCCGCAGAGGGGGCTGGGCAGAAGCACGGGTCAGGCCTTAGAGTCTGACCTTCTGCTGTCCCCATGGCCTGAATGCAAGACACCGACCTCCGGGTGTGGGGACCTGCTGCATTCACCACCTCCTGGCTCAGGGCCCAAGCCATGTCCCCTCTCTTGTAGATAGAAGCAATTGCAGACAGACCAGAACACGCATTTGGGGTGGACACTGGATTCAAGGGCCTGCAAGGCATCGTTGACAAGGTGAGTGCGGGCTGGACGTGAGGAGAGGGTGGGGGCATCTCCCCAGTATCTCTGAGGATCACACTCCTTGCCCCCTTCCACCCTCTCTCTATTCCAGCTCGCGTCAAGGTTTTGTCTTGAAGTTACATCTGCGCGTGCTACCAGTTCGTGTTTAGGAGGTAAGAGCTTAGGAGTCACTGCTGTAACCAGGAGTGTATGTGTGTAAGTGTGTATTTGCATGGTGTTTCCATGTGTGAAGTGTGTATTTTTGAGGTGTTTGTACATTTGGTTTGTGTGTGTGTGTGATTTGTGTATGTGATATGTATGCATAGTTTGTGTGTCTGTAGTATGTGTGGTGTATGTGTATGCATAGCGTGTGTGTGTATACTCTGTGTGGTGTGTGTATTGTTTCATGTGTTTATTTAAAATGTAATGTGTTTGGCATGTGTATGCTCTGTGTAGTATTTGCGTGGGTGCATATGTAGTGTATACATGTGTGATGTGTCTCTGATGCATGTTCATGGTGTGTGTGTGTATTATATGTGTATGGCTGGTGTGTGTCTTGGGGGAATGTTCAGTGTGTGGCGTGTATGCCTGTATATGTGTGCTGTCCTCATGAAGGACGTGTGAAGTATGGCTTAGGGGTGTTTGGGGGGAGGGTTGTGGCTGTGTGCCTTTGGAGTGTGATGTGGATTTGTGTGGGTGTGTAGTGTGTGTCTGTGTGCTGTTAGTGTGTTGTGGAGGGTGTAATGTGTATGTTTATGGACTGCGTGTGTGGCATGTGTGGTGTGTATGTGTGTGGTGTATGTATATGGTGTATGTATATGGTGTGTGTGGTGTGTGTATGTATGAGTCTGTGTAATGTTTTTATGTGATGTCTATGTTTGTGTAGTATGTGTTTTGGTTTGAGGTGTGTATGTTTCTGTGGAATATAATGTGTGGGTGTGTGTACTGGGTATATTTGGTGTGTGTGTATTTGGTGTGTATGTGGTGTGTGTGGTATGCAGTGTGTGTATTTGGTGTGTGTCTACTGTGTGTGGTAGGTGTGTGAATCTGGTGTGTGTGTGTGGGCGGTATGTAGTGTGTGTACTTGGTGCAAGACACCGACCTCCGGGTGTGGGGACCTGCAGCATTCACCACCTCCTGGCTCGAGGCCCAAGCCATGTCCCCTCTCTTGTAGATAGAAGCAATTGCAGACAGACCAGAACACGCATTTGGGGTGGACACTGGATTCAAGGGCCTGCAAGGCATCGTTGACAAGGTGAGTGCGGGCTGGACGTGAGGAGAGGGTGGGGGCATCTCCCCAGTATCTCTGAGGATCACACTCCTTGCCCCCTTCCACCCTCTCTCTATTCCAGCTCGCGTCAAGGTTTTGTCTTGAAGTTACATCTGCGCGTGCTACCAGTTCGTGTTTAGGAGGTAAGAGCTTAGGAGTCACTGCTGTAACCAGGAGTGTATGTGTGTAAGTGTGTATTTGCATGGTGTTTCCATGTGTGAAGTGTGTATTTTTGAGGTGTTTGTACATTTGGTTTGTGTGTGTGTGTGATTTGTGTATGTGATATGTATGCATAGTTTGTGTGTCTGTAGTATGTGTGGTGTATGTGTATGCATAGCGTGTGTGTGTATACTCTGTGTGGTGTGTGTATTGTTTCATGTGTTTATTTAAAATGTAATGTGTTTGGCATGTGTATGCTCTGTGTAGTATTTGCGTGGGTGCATATGTAGTGTATACATGTGTGATGTGTCTCTGATGCATGTTCATGGTGTGTGTGTGTATTATATGTGTATGGCTGGTGTGTGTCTTGGGGGAATGTTCAGTGTGTGGCGTGTATGCCTGTATATGTGTGCTGTCCTCATGAAGGACGTGTGAAGTATGGCTTAGGGGTGTTTGGGGGGAGGGTTGTGGCTGTGTGCCTTTGGAGTGTGATGTGGATTTGTGTGGGTGTGTAGTGTGTGTCTGTGTGCTGTTAGTGTGTTGTGGAGGGTGTAATGTGTATGTTTATGGACTGCGTGTGTGGCATGTGTGGTGTGTATGTGTGTGGTGTATGTATATGGTGTATGTATATGGTGTGTGTGGTGTGTGTATGTATGAGTCTGTGTAATGTTTTTATGTGATGTCTATGTTTGTGTAGTATGTGTTTTGGTTTGAGGTGTGTATGTTTCTGTGGAATATAATGTGTGGGTGTGTGTACTGGGTATATTTGGTGTGTGTGTATTTGGTGTGTATGTGGTGTGTGTGGTATGCAGTGTGTGTATTTGGTGTGTGTCTACTGTGTGTGGTAGGTGTGTGAATCTGGTGTGTGTGTGTGGGCGGTATGTAGTGTGTGTACTTGGTGTGTCTTGTGTGTGGGGGGGGGTGTACTCTGTATTTGGTGTGTGTCTATTTGGTGTGTGTGGTATGTAGTGTGTGTATTAGTGTGTCTATTGTGTGTGTGTGGTGTGTGTGGGTGAATGTGCAAGGGGTGGGTGGATGTGCAGGTGGACGCTGTGTGGCTGTGCGTTGGGCATGTGTGTGAGTGTGTATTGTGTGTGTGTGGTGTGTCTATTATGTGTGTGGTGTGTATTTGGTGTGTGGTGTGTGGTGTGTGTGGGTGAGTGTATGAGAGGTGGGTGGAAGTGCAGGTGGACGCTGCGTGGCTGTGCGTTGGACACGTGTGTGAGTGTGTATTTGTGTGTGGGGGTTATGCTGAGGTGCACAGTGTGTAGGTGTGTGCAGTAACTGGCTTTTGTGTCAGTACAAAAAGTGGATTATGAAGCAAGAACAAACGTGTTGAAAACTCCCGAGGAAGCACAGCAATGTCCTGGAGCCATGTACATGGAGTGCTAATCCCAGGGCACTTGGGGCTCAGGCAGAGGCCAGGTGACTCAGGACGTGGAGTGTCACGTAGTTCACCTCAGCGATGACACAGGGAGGAGACATGAGCGATGGTCTGGGTGCAGGAGGAAAAGGAGCTGGGCAGACTCACCGTCCAGCACCACACTGGGGACAGAAGGAGCCTCCATGGCCTGAGCAAAGGTGTCCACAGAGGGGAATCCCCAGGGCTCATGTCACCCCAGGTTGAACCATGAACACCTGTCCCTGAGGCTCCTTAGTGGGTCCACCAGGCCCTCCGTGGTCCCGTCTGTGCTCTGGGCCCCACGTGCTGCAGGGACAGAGCTGGATGGGGCCCAGGTGTTCTGCAAACCCTTCCTCAGCTTCACAGGATCCAGCCCACCCATCCTCTGAGGCCCTACTCACAAGGCATCTCGCCCTGGAATCTTTCCCTGAGTGACCAGCCCCTCTGGCTTCCTGCCGCCTTTGGTCTTGGCTTGTCCCCATAAGTCACTTGTCACCCAGGATGTACCATGACTTCTGGTTTCTCATTCTGCTCTTTGTCTTCTAACCTTTGATTACAGAAAATTTCAAAACTACAGTAGAGTGAAGGATTGTACATTGAACACCCCTAAGTCCATCACCTGGATTTTGCAATTAATTTTGACCCTATTTTCTTTATCGCACATGTATTCATATCTCTCACTGTTGCTCTTTTTCCTCTTCCCTGTCTCCCAATTTTCTTTAATTAATGTTGTTTTTTGATGCATTTCAAAGTAGATTACAATCACTGTGCTACTTCACCTCTAAACCCCTCAGTCTGCATGTCTTGAACTAGGGACAATATTTGCTTACAGTTCTCTATTTGAAGTGCACAGATCCTGAGTGTGTCACTTGGTGACTGACAATTGCACACAGCTCCTGTGTAACCCAAAACCGTGAATAGCAGACCACCGCCACAGCCCCAGAAAGCCCCTCAACCCCCGTCCCAGGCAGTCCCCACCCCCTCCCTGACAGGCAGCTACTGGGCTAACTTCCCACCATAGGACACTTTGCTGTTTTAAGCAGCACATCAGTGGGAACAACGGTACGAGGTCTTTGGGTCTGGCTCCTGCACACAGCACAGGGATGCCAAGAATCGTCCGTGCCTAGCGAGTTTGCTGCCATGCCCGGGAGGCTGGCTGCAGGCGGCTTCTCGTTATCCTCTCTCCTGGATGTGGCTGGCCCCGAGTGGGCGTGTGCAAGCAGTCCACTGGACAGGGCATGTCCACTGGTGGCACACAGCAGGACACGGGGATGGGAGGCCTCTCCTGTTAGGTCCTGTGTCCTGGGGACATTGCACTGGGCACCTGCAGCAGGGCCGGGAAACCCTATGCATGGAGTGGGCTGGTGCGCCAGGGTGGGGTCAGGGCCACTGTGCAGTGCAGGGACACTCCTGCCACCAGACAGGGTATCCACTGTCCCTCCATGATGGTGACGTTCCCACTGTGCCCCATCCTTCTCTCTTCCTGGGCATAATTGATATGTAGACATCTATCTATATATACTATAAAAGGATAGTTTTACACAAATGGGATCTGGGGTACATAACATTTCCAACATCCTGCATAGTGTTCTAGTCCATGAATGGGCCAAATTTAATTCATCAGCTTCCCTTTGTCCATGTGCAGATAGTTCCTGATTTGTCACTGTTACTAACCACGCTGCTGTGGACACGCCGATGGTTAACTCTCTGTGCATGTGACCCGTTAGTTCCAAGGGATGGAGAACAGAAGTAGAATTGCTGTATTAAGGGCACACACATGTTAAAAGTTGGTCACAAGTGTCCCATTTCTGTCTGATAGGCTGTGCCATCCTGCGTGCGGTGGTCCCTGCTCCCCCCGTCCCAGCGCAGGTCGCATCCTGTCTACATCCTTGTTGAGAGTCTCCTGTCACACTGGCAGCCCCATATCACTGTTCAGCTTCCATAAGTCCTCCAGCCTTTTCTGCTGGGCTCTGGGGCCCTGGCCTGAGGTGTGGGGTACCTGTTCTTCCAGAGAGGACATGGCTCAGGCTCTTCCTAGAGCAGGGTGGCAGCTACCATGTGGGTGCCTACGGGGGCCAGGCAGAGGCCATGAGCAAGAGGAGCCAAGGGCGATGTCAGGTGGACAGTGGGGTCCTGGAGTGAAGGTGGGCCCTGGGGAGCTCCCACATCTGCAGAGGGCAGTGGTGCGGCCCAGCCAATGGGTAACAAGGAGGAATACAAACCCACCGAGGCCCGGCCTTCTCATTTCCCACAAAAGCTAGAAATGTGCATTATGGGGGAAAGTGCCCAGACTTTTAAATGTGGGCTTCCGTTTTTGAAAACACATGAAGCCTAACAAAGCATGTCGCAGGCCAGCTTCAGCCCTTGGAGGTGCTGCAGGAAGACAGAAGCAGGAGGAGCCGGGACTGCCAGGGTCAAGGCACTGTTCTGCGTTAATGCACCTGCCCCCTGAGCATCACCAGGGATTGGAACGAGCCAGGCCTGGGCCCCCAGGCAGCCGTGGAGGCAGATGAGCTGGGGCTTGCAGATGAGCTGGGGCTTGCAGCCGAGGGCCTGCAGGGCCCTGCTTTCCTGCCCTCTCTGTGTCCCTGTGGCATTTTCCTCAGGGCAGGGAGGAGACCCCACCCCCCGCCCCGGTGCAAGGAAGAGAAACAAGGATGGGCTTGGCGTGGCCCTTGGTGGTCCAGGAGGAGGCAGGGGATGAGGAATCATCTGGAGGTCTGCGGAACTGCAGCTAAAGCAGGACGTCTCCTTCTGTGATGGATGCTCCTGGGCAGGGTCCCAGGCGCCTCGTCTGCTCCTGGGGTCTGCAGCCTGCCAGGGCACACAGAAAGACAGGGAGGAGGATGGGCCCTGCATGGTCAGGAGCCTACAGGCATCCAGGCCTGGGTCCCTGCTCAGGTGTGAGACAGGACTGTCTTCAGCCTGTCATCCTACCTCCTCTCTGGCCTCACATGAGGGAGGGCCTGGCTGAGCACAAGGCCTGAGCCCCTGTGGCCTTAGGGAGGACCGCAAGGTTTCAGGGTGGGACAGCCCTGGCTGAGTTGGCCCCTGGGGAGAGGCAGAGTGCCATTCATGGGACTCTTGGGGAGAGTGGGAGAGGGCCGCCGAGTGCTCACTGCCCAGCACATCTGTCTGAGCGTGGACCTTCAGTGACACCCGATGTGGATTTGGCCTCACAGATGCACAGATGTTTGTTCGGATGCAGCTGCTTCCTTTAAGGAGCCTCTGGGAATTTCATTTTGGATGTGAATCCCAATTAACTTTGTGATCAGAGTGAACTGTTTCTCAGACAGTGTCTGATGTTGCCCTCACAGAGCCCTACGAAGTGATCATTACTGGAAAAGGCTTCCATAATGCAAAGAGAGTCCAGGATGTTTTTTGCAGATTCAAGAAAACTGACGATCCAAAAGACAAAACATTTCAGGGTAAGTCACCCCTCCCCCGCACCACAGGTGTCTGTGTCACACAATCCCCTCCCAGCCCTGGCCGAGCCCTCAGCCAGCCAAGCCCACCCAGACCTTGATGACCATTCTCTGTGGACGCTGTGAGGTCAGAGACCACATGGACAGGTGGCAGGAGGGACCAGCTGGGAAGCTGGCTACCTCTCCCTTCGTCTATACAGCATGGATGTGCTCAATCTCCAGTGCCCAAGAGCATCTTGGAGCAGGGATTGCTCAGCCAGGCTGGTTCAGCACTGAGTCTGCCCTCAGAGCTGCGTCCGCCCTGCCCTGTGCTCAGCTCTCCTTCCCTTGAGGACTGAGGACCTGAAGCCCTGGGGTCTGCTGGTGGCAAATGGTGGTGGCCCTGGGGCTCTGAACCTGGCCAGGTGCACTGGTATCTTTCCCAGAAGGATGTCCTTCCCTTGGATTGAGAGGATGCCAACCTCCAGGCCTGGGCCCTGGAACCTGCCCAGGCCCACGTCACCTATGTGACCCTCACCAAATCAGTGTCCCGCTCTCAGTCTCTATTTTCTCCACTGTAAACTGGAGCTGTGTGGTGGTTGCAGTAAGGATCAAGGTCACATGAGCAGAGCAGTCGGGCCACGGAAAGGCATACAGTTTCTTTAATCCCCCATGATATGGCGACACTCAGGCTTCAGGGAATCTCTGCAATAGCGAGTGGCCCGAGGACGCACCCGTTGCAGGCAGAGTGTGCCCTGGGCACCGAGGTGCTGTGCCCTTTCCCACCGAGCGCCTGGAGACGGGGGCTTCCTGCACCTCCTCAGCTCTCCCCACTGGCCCCTTGACACACTCATTTGATCTGATTTTGTTATGTCCTGTGATGTCTGCTTCCAGAGCCAGAAGTCTCCTTCTGGGTAAACCCAGAAGTCTCCTCTCCCCCAGGATGGTTCTGGGCCATCTCTCCTCCTATCCCAGAGTACACAGCATGGGCAGGGGCTGGCATCGCCACATTCCCACTGGGCAGAGCTGTGCAGACCCGCAGGGAACTGGGCTTGCTGTTGAAAGAAAGTGAACCGAAACGCCGGGTACCAATCAAGCTTTATTAAAGGAAAAAAAATTTGCTGGGCTGCCCTCAAAATGGAGGACAGCACCAGATTTGGGGATGGGAGAGCTTATATGGACTGTGGGGTGCCAAGGGCTGGCTGATACAATCAAGGAGGGGCATTATGCTAATGCAGAAGCTATGCAGCCAGGGTGGAGAACTGCACCCTTGCGGAAGCAAGAGCTTTCTGTTTCTCAAAAATCGTGAGTTTTCTCATAAAGGAAAGGGGAAGGGGTTGGGGCTATTTTGTGCTTGGCCTTGCCTAAAATGGCACCAGTTATGTTCAGAACCTATCATTCCTGCCTTTTAAGTACAGGGAGAAGGGAAAGGGGGCGAAGGTCTCATTCTTCTGAAGCTACTTCCTGCTGGAGATGGGCGAAGATATGGAAAATATAAAAGATTCATGTTGGCGGGTAAAACAATGAGGTGGTGGGGTATTGGTTTCGTGTGGGGAGGCTGTATTCCTCCGGGGAAGGGTCGCTGATTCTGAGGGGCTGATATCCTCCTCGCAGGAACAATTCGGCAACCTTTTGGTTGGTGAAAGCCTGCATACGTTCCTGCAAGAAATTAGAGAAACACCAAAAGAGACAGGGACCAAAAGGTAGGATGAGTCCCAGCACAGTTAGGGGTCCTCGTAAGGGCATAAGCCAGGGTGTCCAAGGGTTCAGTGACTGAGGCCACCCCCAAGGTGTGTTTGTGTTTTGTAACCCTTTGCTCTACGATCAATGCTTGTCTTTAAATGGTTTAAGTTGTTTTAGATCACCCTGAACTCAATTCCTCCCAAAGAGGCAGCTGCCTTCCTTCTCGGCTGTAAGGAGGTCAAGGGCCTGATGGTTCTGTAAAGCGACTGTCGTGAGTGAGGTGACCTGTTGCTGGAGGAGATGCTGTCTATACTCAGTTCTTCTGAGAGTTTTTGATAGAATTGAGAGGCAATAGCAAGGCCCACTATGCCAGTCCCAGTTGCAGGAAGGATCCCTGCCCCAATTTAAAAAGGTACAATTAGTGCCCTACAGGAGCGGGGGGCACTTCCTGTGGCACGGGGGCGCCGAAGTTATTCCCAGTCCCATCTCCATCCCTCCATCTGTCAGGACGGTGATGTTGGGTCAAGCCAAACAAATATGCAAGAAATTGCAATATGCAAGAAATCACTTCAGGGGGCAGGGAACAGGATAACATAGTTTTACAAAGGAAATATATTCCGGTTTCAGGGCATGGATGGGGAGGGGGTAAATGAGTGGTGGCATTTGGCGTCAGTGAGGCAGAGTGTGGGCAGACCCCGCACAGCGCTGACAGTCCCCACTGAGGTGAGATTAGAGGAAAGTGAAGAGACATTTGTGGAAACATTGTGGGCTGCATCTACAGGGAGGGGGGTGACCATAAAAAGTTTCTTGCAAAGTGGGAGACAGATGAGTCGCTCGGGGACCAGTCTGATTTGCTGAGGACTGCATCGTCCCTGCGGACCTGGAACCTCCATGTTCCAGGTAAGGGGGAGCATTGAGATAGGAGGAAACACATGGGAAGGAAGCAAAGGGTTAGGAGCCAAAAGAATTTAAAGGGCACATTGCCACAATGAACTTGCTAAGAGGCATCCTACTGATAGGAGGTAAAGGCAGCCAGGAGAAATCTTCCTACAATGTTACACGCTCTGGGGCAGCACTGGCCAATCCAGTAGCAAGGACTAGAACAGATAGTATAATAAAGGTTAGGGACACGGGTGGCATATACTTATCATGTCCCATGATGGCAAACCCGTGACAGCAGGTCGGGACCAGCCTTGGAGCAGCTCCTGTGTGAAGGACATGGAGCGGCCTGCAGGAGTGAGAGGATGATTGCCGGGGGGAAGATCATCCTTCTTCTGGGACTGGGGGAAGAGCAAAGGTCCTGGACAACTTTGTGGGTCCTAAAATGGACAAAATGTAAGGAGATGTTGGGTTGGGGTTGAGCAGAGGGACCCCTCTGGCTTGGTGTTAGCAGATTCTTTGGGTAAAGTCTCAGGTGCTAGTTTTACCAAGGATAAGTGATCCCAAGGGGCCTTTCCTAGTACTTTTACTGCTGTGGAGGTGGCGAGAAGTGCTGTATAAGGCCCTTCCCAACATGGCGAGAGAGGCTTTGGGATTCGGGTTTTACTGTACACTTGCTGTCCTGGGCTCAGTTTAAAGTCTGAGGGGGCGGTGGGGAAAGGATGAGGTAATAGAAGGTGGCCAGGAAATTAAGGAGTGACAGTGTGGGCCTGTGAATCCTCATAGGAGGGTCTACAAAGGAGGAGGTCATCCATGTATTGTATTAAAGTGCTAGAGGCTGGAGGAAGTTCAGATAAGTTTTGAGCCAAGGCCTGGCAGAAGAAGTGGGGGCTATCCCGAAACCCCTGAGGCAGTACTGTCCAGGTGAGTTGTTGGGAATGATGCGTATCAGGATCAGTCCAAGTGAAAGCGAATAGGTTTGACAGGAAGGGTGTAAGGGAATGGGGAAAAAAAGGGCATCTCTGCGGTCAAGTACAGAGAAGAAGCAGGTTGTTGTTGGGATTGTGGATAGAAGAATATAGGGGTTAGAAATGATTGGGGTTATGGGTAAAATGACCACATTAATGGCCCTGAGGTCTTGAACTAAATGGTATGAACCATTAAGCTTTATAACCAGAAGGATGGGTGTATTACAAGGTGAATAGGTGGGTTGTAGAAGATGAGAAGAAAGGAGTTTGTTTATAAGGGTCTTTAACCCTATTTGGTGTTTATTAGCAACGGGGTATTGTGGGACATTAGGGAAAGAAGAAGGATCCCATGACCTCACAAAGATGGGAGAGTGAGGAGTAGCCATGGAGGGTGAGGAGGTGTCCCATTCCATAGAATTAAACTTGTTGGAGAGGAAGGGGAAGGTGGAAGCCTGAGGGGCCAGGTCTGGGTGTGGCCTGTAACAGGAGTATTGTAACTGGAGTTAAAGTGTTTAAGATAACAGTAGCTTTGAATTTGGAAAGAATGTCCCATCCCAGTAAGGGGATTGGGCATTGAGGCATTATTAAAACTTTGTGTGTGAATTGGGTGTGATGTAGGGTGCAGGAAAGGGGTTGAGTGATCTGTGGGTGGTATTCTGATCCCGTGACCCCTACTATTGTGATAGAGGACAGGGTTGTTGGTCCTGCATACTTAGGAAGGGTAGAGTAAGTGGCCCCTGTATCAATGACAAAAGAGATTGGCTTACCTGCTTCGAGGCAAGCTACCCTGAACTCACATGAGATGATCTCCATGGGGGCCCCAAGCCCTGGGCATCATCAGTCCTCCTCCTGGGAAAAGCCTAGAAGCTCTGGTAGAGATGACCGTGAAGCCAAAGGCTGTGGGTTGGGGACTGAGCTACTCCCTCTCTCGTGAGTCAAACAGTCACCCCCCCCCTCCAGTGACCTGGCTGTTTGCAGTGAGGACAGGGCCTGGGAGGAGGCCTGGGGTTAGAACAGTCCCATGCCCAGTGGCCCAGTTGACCACATTTAAAGCAGTCCCTGGGAGGGTTGCCCCTCGAGGCAGCCAGCTTAGGGGTATGTGAGCCTTGGATGGCATTAGCCAGGAGTTGGTATTTGGCCTGATCTCTTTTGTAATGATCCCTCCTTTACTCTTCCTCCCTATTGTTAAAAACCTTGAAAGCTGCATTGAGGGGGTCTCATTGGGTCATATTTGGACCATCCTCAAGTTTTTTAGTTTTTTCTGAATGTTAGGGGCTGATTGGGTAATGAAATGAGAGTGTAAGAGAGCCATGCCTACAAGGGAGTTTGGTTCTATACGTGTGTATTTATGTAAGGCCTCAGAGAGGAGGGTTAGGAATTCACTGGGATTTTCAGTGGATCTTTGTGTGATTTCTCTAAGCTTGTCATAATTGACCAACTTGTGAGTAGCCTTTTGGAGGCTGT